TCGCAAGCTAATGATGAGAAATAATTTAGAATTATATAATGTTCCCTTTGCCACCTGATTTCTTTATTCATTGTTCACCAATTTATCTTTATAGTTTGGATACATTTAGATAATAAAGCATGTTTTTTTTTATTTTTTCACTGCAATCCCTTCCTGTCCTTTGGTTGAAAGTTTACCTCTTCAGAGTTTAAAGGAACACTATAGTCACCAGAACAAATACAGCTTATTGTATTTGCTCTGGTGAGTATAGTCAGTCCCTGCAGGCATTTTGTAGTAAATACTGTCTTTTCAGTGAAAAGGCAGTGTTTACATCACATCGTAAGGGCACCAGTGGTCACGCCTCAGATGGCTACTGGGTAAGTTTAGAAGGGACTAAATACAATCTCATAAGAATTTTGCAATAGGATTCCCAATGGGATAAGCAGCTAGGGGAGGATTTTGTGGTTTGAATCATCTGCTTTCCCATTGTATCATGTAGGGAGTTTAGCCAAAGCAACTGCATTTTTAAAGGCATTGTTGAACAGGGAAAGTAACTTTTGAGCAGTTTGTTGTCCTGCACAGCACTGACCAAATGGCATAAGTTGAGGGGTATCGTCAGATTGTATGATTAATGTTTGTATAATGTGTTTAGGTCTAAGGAAGGCCAACAATCCCTGGGGGAAGAGAGAGCTCTCTTTGTAGGTAAGGGAAAGGTTTCAAGACATGCAGATTAAATAAAGAGTAGCTGATCTCCCCCCCTTCTATCCAGGAGCTCACTGAGATATCATCCACATGTTGGTGCATAATAAGAGAGGTGCACCTGGCCTGTCAGCCTCTTCACCCATCGATTCCAACTGTGCAAGAGGAAAGAGGAGCTTGGGAGTGGTGCGTGTTCTTACCTTTTTGGCAAAACTGACATCCAAAACAGATGGCTTAACTTGTAAGGTTTAATGCATGCATTTGCTAAGGGGAGTCATACAGGAGGCTTCGAATGAGATATGACATCCAATTCCATTATTGATGCTTATAGCATGTTTTAATGTTTGGTATTCCCAATCCTCCCTTGCAGAAGGGGTGCTGTGTCAATCATCTCAGCATCCTGGGGGGTTTCTTTTTCCAAATGTGTGCATTAAAAATAGATTAGAATTGCCAAATATTTGGTTGGAAATCCTTATTGGAATTGTGCAAAAAACAATAAATGTGGGGGAGACTTCATTTTATGGCATGGATATGACTATGCCAGGAGATTTCAAGGTTGCACCACTTTTCTAGTCGTGTTCTAAGTTTTTGAGTAAGGGCCACATAGTTTTCTTGGATTAGTTGGTATCAGCTTTTAACGATAAAATGGGTCGTAGGTTTGCGCACTCAGTTGGGGGTTTACTGTGTTTGGGTAGTGTTACTACATAAGCTTCCAGTATTAGTTGGAGCAATAGTCCAAATAGTCATTAAATATTTTGGTGAGAAGCAGGGTCAAAAGTGGTTTGAGACATATATAGTAATAGTTAGAGAGGCCATCTGGCCCTGGGGCCTTATGTTTTGGTGAGGAGAGTATAGATTTTTGTTCCTCTTCATCAGTAAAAGTAATAATTCATATGTAATATTGTTGTTGGGTGTGACTGGGAACTCTACTGAGTCCCAAAAAGTTCAGATGGACCTGTAATTTGGTTGTGGCACCATGGAGTCGTTTTTTATATTATAGCGTTTAGTGTAGTACCTGGCTAACTCGTTAACAATATTGTTTTGGGTCATATAATTTGGTTTGTTGTGATGAGTTAATGAAAGGAATTTTGGATTGTGTGTAATCATTCTTTATTTTATTGGCTAATGATTTACCGGCTCTTCGCCTTCGGTATTAAATTTTAATCTAAGAGACAAATGTAATTCGCTATTAAAAAAATTCTCTAATTGTTTAGTTAATTTTTTAGATGGATTTAGTTTTGAGGTTCTAGATTATCTTGTTCCCTAAACAAGTAAGCTTGTGTGTCATGTGTGATTTGTTTCCTTATGAGAACCGAATTGGATGAACACCCCTCTAATAAAAGCCTTATGGGCTAGCCAAGGAGAAGTCAGTGAAGAGAGTTCAGTTAAATTTTATACAAAATAACTTTTCACCACTTTATTTATGTTGGGTAGGACCTTGCTGTAATCTAGTAACATTTTGTTAAGTCTCCATTTGCCTCTTCCTCTTGCTGGGTAAAGTGTTAAAAAGTTAACGGCCAATGGTGCATTGTCAGACCAAGACCTAGGGCACATGGATACATTGGCTATATTAGCCAAGTAGATTTTTCAACTATACATAAATCAATGTGGGAATAAATTAGATGTATTTGAGAGAAGAATTTGTAGTATTTTCTTGATGGTTGTTTACTGTGCAATATCTCATAAAGATCATGAGAGAATAGTAACTTTTAGAAAGATTGGCTATTTGTGATAAAGAATTGGGATAAAATGTCTATCACATTCATATTCTAAGTCTAGTTCTGGGTCTAATGTGCTGTTGAAATTCCCACAAATTATCGTATTGGCCCTGTTTGAAGAAGCTTATTTTGTTTAACGCTATACATAGGAGAGGGATTTGGGAGACGTTGGGAGTGCAAAGAGAGACTATTGTAACAAGGGTCCCTTTCAAAGTCCCTACTAGGATCAGTAAGCAGCCCAACTCATCTGAGTATTACTTGCTCATCTGGAATTGAATGAAAGAATATAGAAACCCCTTTTGATTTATGGAGACAGTAGGTGTGGAATGCTTGTAGCTATTTTTGTGTGTGCAGTTTAGGCGGCTTATGGTTTCAAAAATGGGACTCCTGAAAACAAACCACTGCAGCTTAGGAGCTCTGCATGTTTTATATAGCATTTATCGTTGTTTGTGAGGCCTATTGAGGCCTTTGACATTCAGAGAAGAGATTTTAAATGTTGAGCCAGTCACGTTTGCAAGGAAAATAATTTTGCTTCAGTGATCTTAAATTAGTGGGAGCCCCAAGGTTCCACAGAGGTGGAAGAGAACAATTGAATTACTAAAGAGATGCCCATAGTTCTGATTACAACCAAGTGAAAATGCTGCCCAGCCCCTATCTCTGCTCATCTAAATATATAGCAATTCTTTTTATTTATTTTTGTGTTCAGTGCTTGTTTTCCCAGAGATATAAAAACTTGGGGAAGTATTATTCCAACGTAATAAGTTAGTACATATCGTAGATAATGCTAGGTTGACCTCTAAGCTAGGGATGCATGCGTTACCCAATTGTATAATAATGGAAGGGCTTTGGAGTGTCAAAAGTATGATTTGTCGCTGATTACCTATGTACCACACTAATGTTACTATACTTGGCTGGTGGCAGAAGGGCATCGTATATAATAGGCACCCAGAGCACTTCCGCAGCTTAAAGAGTCCTCAGCGAGATTGTATCCGGGGGGGAATTTAACTGGGAATAAACAACAATTGGTGTATACTTATCAGATTATTAGTTATTCTACTCAAGCTAGCGCCGACATCCAACTCAGCTATACTTTGGACAGCATGCAATACATGTAAAGAGTGAACTAATTTACATATTCTACTACATAGCGTTTCTAGCTAGATTAGAAGTTGGCAGATAAAACCTGTAGAGGCACCCCAATAGGGTGAGGGGTTTTCACTGCCCAGAGATGTCCTTTCTCCCCTGTTGTGAGAGGTAGGCTGTACAGTAAAATCCAGCAGGAATAGCTCTTAGAAGGGCTAGTGATTATAGAGCAATCCCAAGGCAGGGATTGCAGCAGGTATAGCTTCTCCCTAGAAGCACGAGACGAGGCTCTGTGTTGAGGGTAAAATCAGGAACTGAAGGTTTATTGTGGCACACTGCCTTTTATACAGTTTTCCCCACAAGCTTACCACCCAGGTGGACCTTGTGGGACACAGGGACACAGGAACAAAAAGCCAAACAAAACAGTATTTTACATTCAGTCACTCCCATATAGTGTACACAATCCCTCCCCTCTGCTTAGGAGATAATTGAGTTAATTACTGTATCAACTCAATTATCTCCAAACAAAAAAATAATTTTTTTTACACATCTTTAGAAATACCCCCAAATCATAAGAAGCCCTCACAAAATATACATTTCCTGATAGCCCCGATCTGGGGGAACAACATACTCAAAAATCACCCAGATTGGTTAAGGGGTTCAAAAGTTAGCTGGAGGTCAGATTTCTGTCCAGCCGCCCACGAGGCTATTGCCCAGAATAGTTCCAACGTTCAGCTGGGTCGGCTGGTCTATTGCAGGGGCAGGGAAACACATTGAAATAATGAAAGAGCTGTTCGTGTCTATGCTTTTCCAGTATCTCTTGTTCGTGTGTTTAAATGTACGGAAAACGCCGCTGCGTTCGTATGAAAGAAAACAAATTGGTGGAAGTCTGGAAGTCCCAGCAGTGTTCACGTGAACCAGTGTCCGAAAACAGTTCCATGCGTTCAACGACAAAACACTACTGGCTGTTCGACAGTTTAAGATGGCTGCCGCCACATGTTCATTTATACGAACGATGACCACCCAGCCGTTCATCAATTAAGCTGCGGTTAACCACAGCTTCTTGGAGGTTAATGAGTGGCACACTCCATATGCAGGGTGGTCGGTCGTTCAGCAATTTGTTCGGTCATTTGTACAGAATTACCCTGGTTGTAAGAGAAGTGAAATTCACAGAACAAATTAACGAATATATAAGGGAAAATATAAAATCCAACCAAATAGAGAGAAATATAAAATCCAGGGACAGATGGTTCTGTCACAAAATCAATATACTCAAGTGCAGCGTGTTGTAGGTTTTCATGTATCCGTTAGTCATGGCTGTTGTTGTTTTTCAAGCACGAAGAGGAACCCACCATCCGCCATTCCAGTTGGACTTTCATTGGTGAATATGTTCAAGGTGATGTAGGTTCCGACGATCTAAATAGGCTCATTTCCTTCAGTGTGGAGATTCCCACCTCAGATTCCAAGATCACCATCGATTTCCCCCTGTGCCACACCTACAGCTTCGTCAAATTTCTCCACCTGTAGGGTACGTTGTTGTTGAGCAGGGTCTTGGTGACTTTAAGAAATTCTCTTCTTCGCACAATTGTGGTAGCTGATAAATCTGTGTATAGATATATACCCTGGTGTGGATCAGACAGGCAAGGGAGTTTTTGTGCAGCATTTAGCAGGAGGTCTTTAGAGTGGAAATAGTGAAAGCGGGAGTTGGTATATGCTTTCCACAGGGGAATCCACTGTGGAGAATTGTGGCTTTGGCAGGCAATGAACTTGGTTGAAGGCCCATGCAGAATCATCCAGTTGAGGGACAAGGACCTTGCAAAAGGCCTTGAGGAAGAAGGGTAAAGCTTCATTGAAGACAAAGTTAGCAATTCAAGGATTCTAAAATTATTTGCATCATGACCTGTCTTCAATAGCGGGCACTTTATGTTTGAGGGACAGCTGTTCCTCCTCGAGCCTCTGCGATCTATCCAACACCTCATTATGGGGCACACAGAGTTCCTTAGTTTTATTTTCTAGGTGACTGGTCCTGCTCCCCAAGTTAGACATCTCTTTGCGCAAATCAGAGGCCAGCTTCTAAAAATCAGCCTGTAGTGTGGTCTGCAAATATGCAGCCTTGTTCGCAAGCTTCTCTCTGTAACTGGAGTATCCTCTGGGGGAAACAAGATGACCTCCGACTCCGACCCTCTGAGGCTGGTGAATGCTCTGCTCTGTTTTTGTGCTCTGGTGCACCAGATCTGTTAATTTAAGTTGTTTTTACAGTACCATATGGACTGCTGTGGAGAATTAGTTTTCTGAAGCTTTTCAGTCTCTTAAAACACGCTATGGGCCTGGTGAAGTACGTAGCATTCACTCCATCCAGTTTCTCCACCTTTTGGCAGTCGGACACACCCAACTACTTTTAAGCTCAAAGATTGGGAATTGGTATGATCACCCTATTGGCCCAAATTGTGATGAATAGCAGTTTATAACTAAACAAATCTCCAAGTCTAGTAACCACTCCTTAACCAAATACACAAGACTATATTATCGAATACATAATAGGACACTAACAAACTGCAATAGAGCATGCACCTTGAGCAGTCCTACCAGTAACCCTAGATTAATTTTCCTCATTATACCAGTGACATATACTCCCTTTCTGGAAGTTTTGCAGTTACAAACTGAATCTGGATAGCATTACATTTTATATTATTCACACTTTCATCATTAGTAAAATCTGCTGTATTACTTACTCACTAGGTGATGTGTGCCCTTTTACTACTTTTTCTACATGAGAAAATGAAATACCCAACAAACATGTATGCTAAAATAGTCAAAGAAACACTCCAAGCACAATATTGTGCACGGGTAACACATTTTTGTTTGGTCCAACCATTTTTTCAGAAAATAAAATTTAGCTTGGGAACTCTGACACTTGTTCATTTGACAGTCTGACTCATTAAAATATAGTCTGTAACAAATATTCAGGAAAACAATTTGGACAAACAAAAGAGGGAAAATAGGCCAATCAGTGTAGTGCAATGTATATACATAATAGATTAAATATTAACTGATAGGTGCATTTTCCTATCATTTGGTTTACATCATAAGTGAGAAAATATAATCAATAGAGGGGAAAAGATTAGGAACAGTTTAAAAAAAATACCTATAGTTATTAGACATGTGCAAAAATAAATAACGTGAATAGTCCAAACCCAAATCCTTTTTTTCCCCATCAATCTTTTTTTTAGTGCCATGGATGGAGCTCCAAAACTAGAAACAACATGCACGTTGACTGCGCTAGTTAGCGATTTTACATCCTTATGGCATCCTTTAGAGGTACGAATTTGGCTGATCCACCGATTGCCCTAAATTCAGACAAATTGCAATTCTGCAGAAACCAAATGCACAAGTCTACCTTATTTGCTTTAAATGTACACAATTCTGTTAAAAGCTGTTCCACTCCTCTAAGCATTTCTGTCTTGTTTTGTTAAAGAAATAAGAAAAAGAAATAAACATCAAATACAAAAAAAAAGACGTAGGAAAAATAAGAAGATACGTTATTTTGTATGGAACAGATGCATCTTGGGAAGACACAATATTATTTAGAATAAATTCATCCCTAACCCCATGTAATATACAATGTTATGAATTTGCTTGCAACAGTCATTTATCACCTTTCTCAGCTACAGGTCTCATTATTTAATGTTGCTAGCTGCCCCACGCAAAATCCAACCTAGATTTGATACTTGCAGAGATGACATTACAAAATATGTCTTTTGTACTGTAATTTTCTCTTATATCTCAGAAAACTATCATTTAGCCTTTAAAGACTATAAATTATGTCAGGTCGCAGACTCATGGCATAGAAAATAAATGGAGTTTCGAGTTTTACGTTGGCAAAGATAAATTGTTACTTTGAGGTTTCCTTTAGGAACCAATGGAAAAAAGAGCATTGCAAGATTCACGGTATCCATTCTCTGTGAAGGTTTTAATCTAAAAACATTGTGAATTGAAATTGCCTTGTGTGTTATTTGAACCCATGTTGAGATAAATATCTGTGATTGCAGGAACATTTTGTTACAACACAAAATGCTGCTCTGATCATACACTATTGCCAGAACTCCTGGGAGTTTTGGGGACTCCTAAGGCAATTGGCACGCTCCCAGTGTAGGAAAAGCTTGTTGAGACGGACGCTTCATATGGGAAATATGTGTCAATATAAAACGAGACACGTCTCTACATAGAGAACCTAGGGATTTGTTTGAATTTCTTTGTAAAGAGGTGCATTTATTTTACAGTGAACAGTACTCATATATACCACTTTCATTAGAGATATTAAAAGATTGGCATGAGGAATAAAGACAAATTATTATTATTATTAATATTATTATTATGTTATTTATATAGCGCCAACTTATTCCGCAGCACTTTACAGTGGGTGGACGAACAAACATGTAGTTGTAACCAGACAAATTGGACACACAGGAACAGAGGGGCTGAGAGCCCTGCTCAATGAGCTTACATGCTAGAGGGAGTGGGGTTAAGTGGCACAAAAAGTAAGGATAGTATTAGACTAATGACAGTTGCAAGACAGGAATCAGTCGGAGCTATTAACAGTTTAATTGATACGCTGTTATGAAGAAGTGGGTTTTTATGAGAAGAAGCTGTTGATGATCAACAGTGTCAAAAGCCGCAGAAAGGTCAAGGAGAATTAGGATAGAGTAGTGACCATGAGATTTTGCAGTGACTAGAACATTGGATACTTTGGTCAGTGCCGTTTCCAAAGAATGCTTAGCGTAGAAACCAGACTGAAGCGGGTCTAGCAGAGAGTTGGACTTGAGGAAGTCTGTAAATCTTGCATAAACAGTTCTTTCAAGGATCTTGGATGCAAAAGGCAGTAGCAAGATAGGATGGTTGTTGGATGGGGAGTTAGGGTCAAGGTTGGGCTTCTTTAGAATTGGAGTTACAGTTGTTTGAAGGGCGATGGAAATATGCCAGAGGAGAGAGATTGATAATTTTAATGAGAGATAGAGAAAGAGAAGAAGACAGAGTATGGATGAGATGTGAGGGAATTGGATCTAGGGAGCTGGTGGTGGGGCAGGAGGACTGGAGCAGAGCAGAAACCTCTTCTGCTGTAGCGGGTGCGAATGAACATAGAACAGCAGAGGGATTCCTGAATAAAGCTTGACTAATTAAGTCATTTTGCCAGTACTATAAACTGAGCTATATCCCTGATGTAGAGCATGTCACAGTTCCTATGGATGTTCCTTCTAATTCACCTCGACATGCAATGCATGAAACATAAGGCTACAATGAATCATCCTTGCATTATTTCTGACACTATAGTAAACCTGTGCATCATTTTATGCCGCTGTTGTTGTTACACTCTATATCGTTACACCATATTGCTACATCCTGGTTCTAGTTGTTTTGAAAAAAATAAAAAATAATTTCACCCATGGAGGGCTCTGCGCAGACTGAGCTCTGCAGGGCAGGGAAAGACTTATAAATCCCCGCCCTGCAATTAGGCTCAGAGCACTCTGATTGGTGAGTTTAAGCCATCCAATCAGAGTGCTCTGACAGGTAAATGAAGAGACTGACAGGTAAGTCTCTACATTTACCTCTCACAGCACTCTGATTGGTTGGCTTGAAATCCACCAATGTGGGAAAGTTCTTTGGAATTTTCCCATGCTGTGTAAAATGACACAGAGCACTCCGATTGGTTAGCTTGAAATCTAGCCAATCACAATGCTCTGTGTCATTTTACACAGCGTGGGAAAGTTCTTTGGAATTTTCCCACGCTGTGTAAAATAACACAGATCACTCTGGCTGGTTAACTTGAAATCCAGCCAATCAGAGTGCTCTGTATCATTTTACAGAGCGTGGGAAAGTTCTTTGTAATCTTCCCACGCTTTGTAAAATGACACAGAGCACTCTGATTGGCTGGATTTCAAGCTAACCAATCAGAGTGGTCTGTGTCATTTTACACAGCGTGGGAAAGTTCTTTGGAATTTTCCCATGCTGTTTAAATTAACAGAGCACTCTGATTGGTGGATTTCAAGCCAACCAATCAGAATGCTGTGACAGGTAAATGTAGAGACTTACCTGTCAGTCTCTTCATTTACCTGTCAGAGCACTCTGATTGGATGGCTTAGACCCATCAATCAGAGTGCTCTGAGCCTAACCCTTGCCCCTAACCTTGCCCCTCCCTGTAGAGCTCAGTCTGCGCGGAGCCCTCCATGGGTGAAAATTGAATATTTTTTTTGCGCTCGTTTTTTTATTTATTTTTTTAAGTGCGTCGGTTATTATGGATTTTTAAACAAAGATATAAAAGAGAGCGCAAAACATTATAAATATATAACTGTTCAAAGTGGTACTAAAAGTACCCTCTAAATGTTAGCAGCTGGAACAAAAAAGAATTTCCCAAATCCTATACTTAAATGTTGAAATATGTTGTCAGCGCTTAGGAGATAATCCCCTTGAAATATAACAAGGGTACAAACACATAAAATGTATCCAGAACAACTGTACCAATAAAATACAGTAACAATTTACTTGGGACTGGAAGAGGATTTACAGCCGTTAAAGCTTATTGCGTGGTCCTTAGTGATAAGTACCACATTTTATTTGTGTAAGAGTTCCTATTTTGGGGGGGTGGGATTCTCTTTTGTACTGGGACATTAAAATCCCAGAATTACACTATATATATTTTTTCTCTTTCTTGCTTCAAGG